CTTACCTTGTGGAATGTTCATAGAAGAGATGCTTTATCTGACCATTCTAACATCTGGGCCATCTCAATAAGCACTCATTGATTCCCTTTTGAGTTAGTCACATTTTCCAAGTTCTTTGTAATTAAATTTCTATTGTATCCTAGACATTTTTAACAGTCTGTTGTTTAGATTCTAGATCTTGTTAAAATCCTTGAGATAATATTGACTTTTTCTATTTGTTTGTTCCTCTAGAAGAAAATCAGTCCAGTTATTTTCTGATTGCAATTTCTGTCTCAACTTCTGGGGGTGATGGTTTCAATGTCAATTCAGTTGCCAAAGCCTTTAAGATGCTACTTTGGGTCTGTGATGAGCATGTGCCACCTGGGGATTAATCTGAGACCTGGGTGATGGTTCAGTGAAAGAGTAGGGTTGAGAGGCAGTATGGAGAGTCCACTGCAGTTTGTAGTACAAACCTGAAAATGATAAAGGGGATTATCCTACTGCTCCATTCTACTAGCTCCCTAATTTCTTGCCTTATTGGAGGCTTTCACCTCCAATCCACATGTACAATTCACTGCTGTGGCTCTACACTATACCCTGTGGTGCCCACATATCAGAGAAACTGAGGTAAGTCTCGCAACCTGAGTTACTAAGGATGAGAGGTACTAGGATCAGATCAAACCAGAGAGAAAGAGGGGTTATCCTCAAGGTTATTCAGAGAATATAGCATTATAGAGAAATGAAGAAATCAGTGGTTAATAAGTAGACTTAAGTTTCTAGACTAGAAGGAAATTAATCAGCCACTAAACAAAGGCACTTAGATAGAGGTATAAATGGATGATAAGTTGAAGGACTATAAAAATCAAGTCAGGAGTTTAAATCTGAAAAGTGAGGAGTGAAGGACAAGTCGGAAAGTATAAAACCTAAATTGATGGTGCTGTGGTTGGTCATTCTTTCTACATAAACTACTGTACAGTGTGAGAATGGACACTTACAAGGAACAGAGAACCAGCAACTCATCTGGACCTCTAAAATCAAACTGTAATGTTCTACTCTCTGGCTATCATCTATTATCCTTTACTGTTATTATGTTTTCCATTCATCTTCATCAATTATGTATTTTAATCCCACATTGTTCTCAATTGATCAGCCCAGTTCAATTGATTTGACAGCTCTTTTTTGGTTCCCATCCTGAAACACTGGCCTTTCATTTAAACTTCTTTTCCTTGGCACCCACAACATTCTTATTACATTTCCTTCTCTACTTCTGTCCTGAAACCGACTGCCATTCACCCTTAGATTAATCTAGTCCTCTGGCCTCTCTGCCCCTACTCAAACTATTGAGCACAGTTGCATGTCTCCAAAAAATATCAACAACTGGGCTGTTACTCACGTCTTCCACCCAGGCACTTAGCTCAAAGCACCACCTTCTCTCCCCAGAGTCACCACAGCAGCCTCATGACTAGCCTCCCTCCTACTCTTGACCATCATTATCTCATACAGTCAATTCTCAACAGCTACAGCCAGAGTGAACTTTATAAAAAAACAAATTAGTTTATGTCACTTTCCTGCTTTACCTAGAAAGGATTGCCATTTCCATCAGGACTCTGGTCTATTTCATTTTACCTCACGACCAATGCTGCACAGCCCTTCCACAGCCATACCGATCTCCTCCTCCCTTCTTCCTCTTCACCCACACTGGTCTTCTTGCCATTTCTTGCAAATGACAGCCCCACCTCAGAGTCATTGCACTTGCTGTTCTCTCTGCCCAGGTCTACCCCCCATCTTCTTCATCTCATACAGATCAAATTCAACTGTCCCTTCTTTGACCCTCTGTGTAAAATGGCCCTCGCCCCTTCATGACCATCTTTGCCTTTCCCTGCTTTGTTTTCTTCACGGTGCTTATCACACTGGACCAGCCCACACTAGACCAGAACTACTCAAAGGCAAAGCATTAAAACTATCTTATTTGGCTACTAGGTCTATGGCTACTAGACACATAAAATAGTGTCTAGCATACAGTAGAGATACTCAATAAATACCACTCAGATTTGTTGAATTATCGGCATGAAGTTAAAATCTTCTAGGATAGTGGTGAGAGTCAGGGTAGGAATGAGGGTCCACAGTACATGACAAGCTGAATAGAGAGGAACTTTAACATTTGTAGAGAAAGACTGAACTCTAACATGCTAAGAGTTGTTGCTTCATTTTAAAAAATTGGGGGCAAGGAATCTATATTAAAATATGCTGTATATTTAATTTTAGAGTTTCAGGCCATGTGATCCATTACTAGGGCTTGCAAGTATCATTTGTGTCATCCTCAGGTTTGCAAGAAGGATGTTTTACTATTACAAGATAAATGTAAGTAGCATAAGCAGAACTAATTAGCTATATTTTTCACCCTCTGTGATCCAGCTCTGGAATGGTTCATAAGCATGTGAACTTAGTGACTGGGAAAAAAATATAAATATATAGCTGATGCAACGAGTGTCAAAGCTTATTTGGCTGTACAGTGTTCATCATTTTAATCCACTCCACATATCCCAACAGGAAATTTTCCATATTTATTATGTCTCAGCAGTGTTTTAGAGAAAAAAACCCACAAAGTTTTATCTGATACAAGGAAATTGGAATGAAAATAAAAGAGCTGAGCTAAGATAAACAGCCTCAGTGTTTTTATTTATAAAATGTTCATATTTAACCAGATGATCTCGAAGAGGTTTTCAAACTCCTTAGTTGTCCAAGCATACGAGAGTTATATGCAAGGGGGTGAATGGATCAGCCACTATTGTGGATCAGCCACTATTTTCCCATTGACATTAGGCAGATGTTTGTTAGATCGGCTTGATAAGGAAGCCAAAATGACTGTCATTAATACCATTAAGAAAAGGATTATTGACGGTGCCAGCTCTGGAGATCCACAGATAAGCTATACATAGCCCCAAGTATAAGCTTTGGAGTTCTCTAGGTGTAGTTCTGAGACCAGCAACATCTGGCCACTTTTTAGAAATGCAAATTGTTGGGTCCCATCCCAGAACAACTGAATTGGAAACTCTGAAGGTGAAGCCCAGCCGTCTATTTTTTGTGGGATTTTAATTTTTTTAAAAATATTTTTATAGAAAGAAGAGGGGAAGGGAGAGAGAGAAAAAGACAGCTATGTGAGAATGAAACATTGATTAGCTGCCTCTTGCATGCTCCCTACCAGGGATCAAAACTGCAACCTGGGCATGTGCCCTGACTGAGAATCAAACCGGCAGCCTTCTGGTGCCTGGGATGATGTTCAACCAACTGAGCCACACCTGACAGGGCTGCTTTAACAAGCCCTCCAGGTTATTAGAATGTTTACTGATATTTGAGAATATTGATATAAGTGAATAATATCAGCAGTTCAAGTGTTGAAACGTAGATCTTAAAGTACAAAAAGAATACAGAGAAGAAATAAAGAACTAACTTTCTGGGACATTTGGACCTTCTCTCATGAATAAGAGTTCAAAGTTGGGAAGATTTTCCAGGCAGAAGGAACAGTATGTGCAAAGGTCAGAGAGGTGTGGAAGACCAAGGTGATCCTATGACTTACAATGGCTGGGCAGGCTTGAGCATCGGGGTGAAGTCTCCCTCCTAAGCATCCTTCCTCCTTCCTCCTCTCTGCTACATGGTGCCAACACATGATGCTGGTGATGAAGAGACTGAGCAAGAGTGAAGATAAAACAATAAAAATTAGGGCCTATAAATTGGAAGCCTATGAACCAAATTATGCTAGCAGATGGTTTGCATTCAGTACACACCATATTACAAAACGAAACAAACAAACAAACAAAAAACCACATTGAGCTGACATTTAATAATTTGTGGTTTAGCCTAAAACAAAAAACAAAAAAACCCCACACCTGTATTTTTGGCTTCTCTTAAAGAATTGAACTATTTGGTCACATTTCACCCACATTTCTTCATAGCAATAATTTGCTGATGCTACTTTTTGTTGAGTCCAGTTTTCTCCATTTCTTCATAGTCCCCACCATTCCCTTTTGTATCCCCAGTAATCATCACCCTTGGACTGTTCTACATAAAGAAATTATTCTCTATTTATGTTTCATTCAAAGATGATAAAATCAAAGAAGGACCAGGGATGCTGCTTCTTTCAAAACACATGGGAAAGAGCACATTTAAAGGAAGAGGGGGACTATTTCTACATGTTTGGTAAAAATTGCAAAGGAATTTATAAACAAAGTTTAATAGGAGTGAAAATGAGCAAGTGATAAACTCTGTCTTGGCAAGAGTTCACAAATGAGGGCTGTTTCTTCACAAACAGAAAAGGGTATTGAAGAATGAATAGGAGTTTTCCAGATGAAAATTAACCCCTTTGATAGGTGTCTATTCAATAAAACATGGGGTCTAAGACAATCTATTATTTTGGAAGTGTGCACCTTTTTCTGTAATTAAAATAAATTGATAATCTCTCATTATAGGGCTACAGATCATATGACCATATTATTCCAGGCTATGTTTTAATTACCCTGACCTGAGGCCCTCTTTGAGCCCAGGGGTACCTGGAAGTTCTTTTTAATAAGGAGTTAATGCTCCAGGCTCAGTGCAAAGCCATAGCCACTCTCATATGAAAATGAGGAGTGGAGATACATTCCATAAATCAAAAGCTGGGGAAAATTAGTTAACCCAATATGTCCTGAGCTTTTCCATGCTTCCTTAAGGGGGTCCATTATGAATGAATACTTTGCTAGGTCACTGATATATTTAAAGGGGAAAAGCAAAAAGCATCAGAATCTAACCTTGTGTGCATGTACATATATGTGTGTTTTTTCAAACCACCACATTCCTTGAAAAGGCTAAAGCAAGATAGCCTTCCTTCAGAATCCTGGCTGGCTGCCTAAACAGAGGCAGAGGTAGCAGACGCCTCTGCCATTAGCTAATTGAGAGATCCCTCCAGGTTCAGCAGTGGCTTGCTGTCCAAAGGTGTGGGTCTCAGTTCAGATCTGGGTGGAGGCAGAATTTTACAGGGGCACCCAATGGTCTCATCGGCCTGTGCCATGTATGGCACAGGTGAGTTAGTGTACACCTGCTGGAGAGGCCCTGGTGCCAGGGACATGCTCACAGCACCACTCAGCCTGGTCTGTTTGTGCTTTTGTCGTCGAGTGCTTTGCGACTAGACAGGGAGAGTGTAATAGCGTCCCCTCATAGCTGGAGGCTTGGAAAGAGGATGTAAGTGTGATTACTGCTGACAGCTAATGGAACATCACCGTTAGAGCCAGTAGTGGAGACGCTGCTTTTGGATGTCAGCTACTTTGGTTCCCATCCCAGAAAATTTCTCATAGGGAACTGATTGATCTTTCAGCAAAATGACTGAACCAGCCAAGTTGTTTCTGCCTCTTTCATTTCAGTTCCTCACTCCTAAACCACAAAGACAGATGGCAGTTAAGAGGTGAAATGTTTGCTGGGCAAAAGAAAGGAGAGTGGATGCCCAAGGTCTTTGCCATCATTTCCTCTTCTGCAGAAAGAGCAATGACTGGCTGGGGGAGGAGAAGGAAAAAATGAAAGCTATCACGCATCTGAATACATATTGGCTTTGGAGATATACACAAACAGCTCAAGGTGGCTCATGAGATACGCTCACCATGATTGCCCCTATATCTTATAATGTCAATGGAGACCACTGGAAATGTATTCCAGAATAATATAAGAACTTTCCCTCCTGGGCTGTGCCTGCTCATGCTTCCCTAGTGCTCCCTTGGACTGCAAATTCAAGCTCCACACTTAAGCCTTTATTTAGCCATTTATTTCCAGCCTCAGCTCAGGAAACTTTTCTCTTGAGTATCTGCAATTTACTGCAATTATCTATATACTAGAGGCCTGGTGCATGAAAATTCATGCACTGGAGGTGGGGTCCCTCAGCCCGGCCTGCCCCCTCTCACAGTCCAGGAGCCCTCAGGGGCGGGAGGTGACCCGGCGATCAGGGGAAAACGATGCCCCATCACACCTCTGCTGCTGCCACTGCCAGCAGCGCAAGCTTTGGTTGTCCCTGGTTACCTGAGCCTCGGGCTGGCCCTGGGTGGCTGGGGGCTGAAGGGACTGGAGGACTCTAAGGCAGGTGCTCGGCGGTCTGCTGCCCCGGCGGGGCTGAGGGAACTGGCCTCCATCTTGTGGTTGTGGGTGGCGCCATCTCTGAGGGCATGGCAGTCAATTAGCATATTCCCTCCTTATTGGCTGTGGATGCTGCCATCTTTGAGGGCAGAGGAGTCAATTAGCATATTCCCTCTTTATTAAATAGGATATAAAAGCCTAAGTGATTGCTGACCGTTCACCGTTCAACCAGTAGCTATGATGTGCAATGACCACCAGGGGGCAGAAGCTCAACGCACAGGCATGGAAACATGGAACAGACTGATGAATCTTAGAGGGAAGCGGGGGAGGGGGGAGGGCAGAAAGAGATTAACCAAAGATCTTATATGCATATTAGGTCCCTCAGCCTGGCCTGCGTCCTCTTGCAATCCGGGACCCCTCGGGGGATGTCAGAGAGCCAGTTTCATTCCGATACCCACAGGCCAGGCCGAGGGACCTCTAGTTGTATTATAATTATCCATGTAACTGACTTCTCAACAGTGAGCTCTCCTTCCTCCTCTCCTCCCCCACCCCCCATATATTGAACCAATATTTATTGAGCAGTAATGTGCCACACAATATTTTAAGCACAAAGAATACAGGGGGAAAGGAAGGAAATATTAACAAATAAACAAAGAAAAGAACTTATTATTTTAAATAGCAGTAAGTACTGTGGTCTATTAGTCAATCATTTAGAAGTGAAGCAGAAGCTAAAGAGGCTTCAGAGGAAACTGAGAAATACTGCCCATCAGGTGAGAGCATTCTAGAAAAGAAAGTGCTCCAAGAAGGAAGGATTGCTCACTTTTATCAGTGGCCTCTGCCATTTGCATGGGCAAGGGGAAGTCTTGAGGGACCTTCATCAGAATAAATCATAGGATGGTGGAAACAAAGACAATCCTGGAGGAAGGATGCAGAAAATAGAAAGATACGCATCCAGTTTCATTCATCTTTGTACCATTTTTGTACCTCCAGTGTCTAGCACACAGTAGGTACTTAATTGTTGACCTACTTCCACTGTGGCAACCATTGAGGAGCAGCAGGCCTGGTTCTGCGCTACCCCATGACCTGGAGCCTCATCAAGGCCCACAAGGTGACCAAGAACATGAGGACGCTGAGGCACAGCCACCGCAGGCGTCTCACCAAGTTCCTATGGGACATGATCCTGGAGGTGTATGGCTTTGCTTCCTGTCAGCAGCGCACCATGTTGCTGCTCATGGTCTCCAAGGATGAGAAGGTCCTAAAATTCATCAAGAAAAGGATGGGGACACCCACCCATTCTAAGAGGAAGAGAGAGGTCCTGAGCAAAGTCCTTGCAGCCTTGAGGAAGGCAGCCTCAAGAAGGACTGAGCCCTGTCCCCTCCGTAATAAAACTCGTTCACAAACAAATACATGTTGACAGAATATATGAATTTTCTGGCCCTTTGCTCCAGCCCATGTAGGTTTGAATTTCATTTTGGGTCCCATCGATCATATCCTATATAAGCATCTCTCGCAGCGATGACATTTTGCTGCATTAACTTATTCGCATGGACATCTCCCTCTACTAAACAATTCCTTGAGGGAAGGGGGTCTGTCACATTTTTGTATCCTGAAAATATAGGACACTGGTTCTGGGATATGGCAAGCATTTGGTTAACAAATATTGGATAAAGGCGTAGTTATCAGATAACAATAATATTGCCTCATTTTTTCCCCCTAAAATTAGCTAAACATTTCACATCCAAACGGAAGAGTAGCCCAGGCAGAGGTCATCTGGAAAGGCCGTTTTAAACAGAACCAGGCTTTGGACAATACAATGAGACCCTTACAAATGAGAGACATAAAGAAACAAAGTTGCAGAGGTACTCAGGGTACCCAAGAAGTCATAAATCCAGAAACAGTCCAGAAAGGCCATTTTCTATATGAGGTACTCTCTGTCTCTTTCTCCCGCTGTCTCTGGCAGCCAGCGTGGTTTGTTTATTTACTTTCTGCCTCCCGGACACCTTGGAGGAGCTGCCCAGCCCTGACTCAGCGCAGCCGGACCTTCCCGGGCTGACTGTCCCGGCAGCTGCTGCAGCTCCGCGCTGCCTGCCGCGCTGTGCCAGCTGTCGCCGCCTGCATCACACCACAGTAATGGGAACAACTGGAAGCAATAATGTGTCTCCCCATTTGCCTAACAATACCAACATGGACAATAACTCAGAAGACTGAAGATTTGTGCTGTAATTTAATAAACCCCATGCACATTTCTACAATTGAGCACCACATCTGTGCAATGGATCCTCGAAGTATAATATTCTTTTATAAGGGACCATTAACCAATCTTAAGTTTATAGGTTTCCTTAAATCTTTTTCATCAGCTGTTAAACTACAGTAAAGAGAAAATTGCCTCTTATGAGACAAGGGACAGTAAAATACAAAGACTGTGATTAAACGTCAATCAATTAAGGATTATAATATAATAAAATGCTGACTGATGATTAAAATGAGCACATTCTAGGAGAATTATATAAGCAATATTAAGAAGTATTTTTAAAAGTCAGTTAGAATAAACTTCAACGAGATCGCATTATCTATGAGTCTTTTGCTCCATAAGTAAAAAAGGGTCGATAGAAGCATTCTTCAGGTACTATACATAGGTCTCAAAATTCGCATTGAACTTCTATGCTAAGCAATATTATTTTAGCTTCTCATTTTACTATTCCCCAGCCTCCGGAATTTTAAATTCTTTTCTGAACAGAATAAATAATGGCATTTTTGTTTCAGCTGGTTTTCCACCAGTGTGTGCAGCTGGGCAACAGTTTATGAAAATGGGTTGTGCTGTAAACCACCAAACAAACAACATTGCAATTGAGGTAACAAAACAGATGAGAACTGAGGGCCCCAGAAAGGAGCTCTGGGACTGTCTATAAAACGTCACAACCTAAGCCTTCCTGAAATGGTGCCTTACAGAATTTCTTTCTCTGAAGGTCAGAACACACTGCTGTCTAGGATGAGATCGCCTACTGCTGCCAAAGAGTTGCAAGTAACCAAGGCGACCCACTGTATTTCTGCCTTCCATAGGCCACACATCTTCTCCATCAGCATCTTCCTTTGGGCTGGAGTTATGATGGGAGGCCTGAGCAAACTACTTCAGGTTTGGTCGCCTAGCACAGCAAAAAAGACTCAGTGGCTTCTTTCTCGTTGCTCTGGCTGTCGTATTTTTTCTCCAAGTATATTAGTGGCAGCAGGCCATTTTTTTCTGTGCTGAGCTGCTCCTTCCTCAGACCTTCTCTTCCACAGTGCCTTCCCAAAGCAATTTTCCTGCTGCACTGTTTGTCCCTGGTCCCTTTGGAGCTCCAAAGGCATCCAGGCTCCTGCCAGTTTGCAGGGAGCATTTTGAAGCTTGTTGCAACAGCTGGCTTATATGAGCCTTGGAGGAAAAGCATGCATACACGTGGTAGCACATTTGAAGCACTAGAGCAGCTGGCAAAGTAAGCAGAGACCAAAGGTGTGGGTAGCTCACAGCTTTGCTAGAAACTGTGCTGGAGGAGCCTTGCACAGAAGATAGAAGCATAATTAATGGATAAATCCCAGTGCAGCCTGGCTTCTGCCCTTGTCACTCTATGGGAACTGCTCCAATGAAGGTCACCAATGACCTTCTAATTACCCAATTAGATGGATACTTTTCAGTCAATGTTTTCCTAGGCATCTCTGCTGAACTTGGCAGGATGTTTGAGTGACATGCAGAACATCACTCACTCACTAAGTAACAAAGCTGAAATTTGAAACAGGGAGGTTTAACCTTAAACTCAAGATCTGCCTATTGAACCTAGTTGCCTAGTTTTTCAACATTTCACAGAGATTATAAAGAAAGGATGAGTGGGAGAAAATGATGGATTGACTACTCTTATTTTCTCTCCTTTGTAGAAAAGACCCAACATGACAGTAATGATATTTTAAGAAGGTATAAAGCCACAAGGAGAGAAAGGCAGTGGAGGACAAGAGATTTCTAGAAACTTTTGAAAGATAGAAATAGGAAAATACCCAAAATGCATGCAGGAATCAGAAGAAGCATTTTAAAAATCCATGAGTAATAGTTAAGATATCTCTATATCTCTATATCTCTATATCTCTATATATATCTCTATAGAATATAAAAGAAACAAAACAACTTTCCCAGCAGAACAGATTTTAAGGGCACCAAGTCCTGAGGGAAGTGGAGGTGTGCCTTAGATGAAGGTGTGCCTTAGATGAAACAATGCCAGATGGATTGAAAGCCTGTAGATAAAGGAGTCGCTGCCCTCGATCTCATTCCCTTTCCTATCCAAACCAAGAGGAAAGTAGAAAGCTTTGTTACTGGAAAAAATCAACCAGAAAAACTTCAGACTCGGGGTATGGAGGTGGGCTAAATGAAGCTAAGACCAGAAAAAATGAAGAGTTAGTGGAATTTCTAGCCTCTTCATCCTGTTTGCAATTCTGCTTCTAGAGGGTCTATATTCAGGCCTAGCACACCAAAAAAGACACCCTTCTTTCCTCTCTACCCCTTGTTCCTAGATTTTTTCCCCTGGATAGCTGAAATGCTACAAAGAAAGTGGGAATTCTATACATGACAAAGCCAGGTAGCCACCTGATCACCATATGATGATGTTGACAAGACTCATTCACATAGAGCTTCCAATAAGCTCTGTAGTTCTGCCTATAAATTATGAACAAATGGCTGCTGAGTAATTCTTTCACAATGAAAAGTCAAAAAATGAACAAATAGAAAATAATAACAAATAAACAAAACAAGGAACTCTGTATAACACATCAAGGCAAGGAGAAAAAGAAATTTAAGCTAACGTCACCACAGAGAGAAGAGCATTGCCTTCACAAAATAAAACTCCCAGATAACAAGAAAGAACTCAAATAACACAGATGATAAATGCACTAGAAAAGTTAGAAGATAAATGCAAGATCAATCAAGGTGTATAAAAAGGGCAGGTATATGGAAAATATGAGAAATAGTTCAGAAAATTAGAGATTAGTAACAAGTCACATATTGCAGGTCTGGAACAAGCAAAAACAAAAACATGGAGGAAGAGAAATTGTCAAATAAATAAAAAACAAAAAAATTTCCCCAAATGGTTAAACATGAATTTATAAATTGAAAGAGTTCACCAATTCAACACACACACACACACCAAATTTAACCTAGGCCCATTACTATAGAACTTTAGAACCCTGGAGATAAAGAATGATATTTAAAATGTTAGAGATGATAGATAGATAGATAGATAGATAGATAGAATGAGAAACATAGAAAAAAAGATGACCAATAATGCTGCATGAGACGTCTCAACAGCAACACAGGAAGTGAATAGACTAAAGAACAATGATTTCAAATTCTAGTGGGAAATAATTGTATTAGTAAGATACTGGACCATGTGCTCCAGCAAAGTGAATAAATAAATCAGGATCAAACGCCAAGAAGGGCATCAGAATTTTTCTCAAAAGCAACCAGAGGAGAACACAAGGCTGTGGGAATGAGGTCTCCAAGGGAGAAAATGGAAACGATGCATTATCTATTTGATTATTTTGAAAATATATTAACAAACATTAGAAAGATATGTTGGAGCACCTGACCAAAATAAATGAGTACTCTTTTTATAGAAAACTAAGCAGATAAAAATGATGTAATTATTACTCAAGAAAAAGCAAAAATTAAACTAGAGGAAAAAAAATTACCAAAGTGTGCTCCTTGGCTCATGAATGAACAGTATTCACATCCTATATAATAAAAGCCTAATATGCTAAGTGTCTGGTCATCTGCTCAATCAATCAAAGCATAATATGCTAATGATAAGCTAAGGCCGCTCAACCACTTGCTATGATGTGCACTGACCACCAGGGGGCAGACAGTTGACCGGTCAAGCAGTCACTATGACATGTACTGACCACCAGGCGGCAGATGCTCCAATCGTTACGTTAGCTTGCTGCTGCAGTCCAGCCGATCGGGACTGAGTTAGACGGTCTGGACACACCCTGGAGCTCTCCCACAGTCCCTCCCTGGCTGGATGGGTTGAAAGCCTGTAGATAAAGGCTTTTATCTACAACCTCCCGTGTCCCTTCCCAGCCTCAATCATGCACCAGAGCGGTCCCTCGGCCTGGCCTGTGCCCTCTTGCAATTCGGGACCCCTCAGGGGATGTTGGAGAGCTGGTTTCCGCCCGATCCCACTCAACACAGGAGCTGCCCCCTGGTGGTCAGTGTGCTTCCCCAGGGGGTGCGCCGCTCAGCCAGAAGCCAAGCTCACAACTGGCGAGTACAGGGTTGGGGGCGGGAGCCTCTCCCACCTCTGTGGCAGTGCTAAGGATGTCCAACTGATGGCTTAAGTCTGCTCCCCACAGCCCTAAGCCATCAGTCAGACATCCCCCGAGGGCTTTCAGACTGCAAGAGGGTGCAGGCTGGGCTGAGGGACTTCCCCTGACCCTGAGTGCATGAATTTCATGCACTGAGCCTCTAGTTTTTTAATAAAAATGTTACAAATCTAAGAGAAAGACAGAGAAGTCAGAAAACTCTTCATCTACCACTACAGGAAGTTAAGAAGATAATGTGTGATAAATAAATAATTTAGGTCATGAGCCTGTTACCTGGAAATATGAGGGTAAATATTAACATCTGAAAGGGTTAACAGTGGTGGCCTCTGGGATGATGTCCTGGGCATGGTGAAAAATATGGCAGGAGTATTTTTCATTATGTTGTCTAGTATTCTATGATTTTAAAGAACTATATGCATGTGTTCTCTTTATATAGCTAATAAGTAATTAAATTTTTAAAATTTAGATAAATATCAATGATCTCTAGGTGATTTTGCTGTATCCTTCCCAATGGGGCATGCTCTTGCTTCTTCTGGTTGGGAATCACCAAGCTTTGGGAGGAAATGTACTGGTCAGTAGCCATTGGAAATTTGGCTCCTTTTCCAGTTATTTCTCAATGTCCATTAATTATTCAATATTCAGGTTGTATGTGTGTACACCCCTCTGTGTACATTTAGAGGTTAGTGACCAACAAGCTTTGAGGACCAAGAATAAAAAGAACTTAAGGTGCTAATGGGATTTCTAATTTAGAGACTAGACTTCAACAATTGTTCAATTCTGTGTCATTTAATATGAATTTAGCAGGGTCACTCATATCAGTAATATCTCTTTAGTCTAATTATTACAAAATAGAGGGAAATCGCTAAGGTATT